TTTTTTTTTTTTTTTTTTTGCTTTCCTGTCCTTAGAATATTCTCCCTGTCATAGACCCTTACCAATACCATTGAATAATTTGACATGAGTTTATGCCATTTCCAAGTTAAAATGTCATTTGTGATCATTTCTCTGTCCAGATTGGATGAGCTGCCCTTTAGCAACCAAGGTAATTGGTATGCCAGGAGACTCAAATTTCTGCTATACATCAGAGGATAACCATGTTTTACTATTATAAATTTAGATTAATCCACAAAAGCATTATCTAGAGGAAATGCCATGTTGATTGTGCACTGAAGGAACATTGGTTATATTTAAGCAATTTGTTCAGTGTGAGGTTATATATTGCAGTTTTCCAGAGGAAAAACAACTTCAGAAAGATATAAGCATGTTGGAAATGATGGAGAACTATGTGATGTGCTAACCTTCAGTGATGGTGAATTAATGTGAGGGTACTCCAACTCTAATCCCTGTCTTTACTTTTCAATCTTGAGTTTGTTGCTCATAAGAGGGATTCTGTCAACAAGACAAATAAAATGACAAACTCTAAAGAAGACACACCTGTATTTGATAAAAAGAGAATAATGAACATGTGTTGAATAGGCAGAGACAATCCAAAACAATTACCAGCAAACTACCTAATTCAAGGCCAGCAATTCTCACCCAGCCTCCCCTTTCCTTCCCACCAAGTTCTAAAATCCTTGTGTTAGAATGTCCTGGTAATTAACAAATCCCTTTATGAACAAAGCCAAACCCAAGAAAGACATTTGAATGTAGAGTTCTGGAGATGTTTCTCTGGTAGAATACCAGCATTTCATCTGAATCAGTAATTCTTTCCAGCACTCATCTTGGGAAACTAAAGGATACTTGTGAAATTCCTTGATTGGGAGTGTGAAGTGAGGAGAATGCAAAAGGATAAGGGGTACAGTCTTGATTTATTGATTTAATTGACTTACATATGTTGATATTACTGTGCTTGGACCAAGGATCAAAGAAATCATAGTTATCATCAAACTGATATATTTGCAATGAAAGCCTGTTGACACCTCAATTGGATATTTATCTTTTTGGTTCAACTAGAGACAGTGCACAGAAACTCACCATTTCATTCACATATTTCTAGTCCTACCACTCTTTTAGCTTCTTCCTCTTTCTTAGCCTATCACCTACCCCTATGCTTATGCATTCAAGCAACAAGCTTTCTAGAAGCAACTTCCGAAATATCTTAGTTCTCTCTAAGACTTTCTATCATTGCTGCTACCACTCTTTCTCTAGCTACGTCTATCTCTTGCTTGCATGACTACCAAAGTCTTTTCTTTGGCCTCACACTGTTTTCTATGCAAAGTGAATTTTATTAATTCAAATTTATTTGTATTACTCTATTCCTATGCTTAAAACCCTAATATGGCTTTATGTTGCCCTTTGTATGAAATTCAAACCTATTGCATAATTACTTTATATTAGTTATTTTACTTTTTTTGTAGAGATGGGATCTCCCTATGTTGCCCAGGCTAGTCTTGAACTCCTGGGCCCAAGCAGTCCTCCTGTTTCAGCCTCACAAAATGCTGGGATTACAAGCATGAGCCACCATGCCTGGCCTACTTTTTAAATGTTTATTTTTCCTGCTCGATTCTAAACTCCATGAGTGTCAACTGTATTTTCTTTATTGGTTGCTATCTCCTCTAAAAGAGGGCTGGCCTATCGTATATGACCTTCAATCATTCGTTGAATGAATGGATTATCTCTGCAAGATATATCTGCAAAACAATTTCTTATTACTCTGTTTCAGAGTGTTTTGAGTTACTTTTCTTCCCCTACCAACAAGTTTTCTCCTCATCATTGACCAGAATTAGGGTGGTTATATCTGTCAAATCTTTTCCACTCAAGCTGGCACTGACTCACCTGTACTCTTGTCCCTGACAAAAATAAATATATTTGGAAGAGCAAAGTAGAGAAAAAGTGAAGAAGAAGAACTAAAAGCTGGGAGAAATTACCCTTTAGAGTGATGCAGGAAGAGAAAGGCAACCTGCAGTGGATATTAGTAGCTGATATATATGTGGGAGGAAAATGTGCTCATGGGCACTGGAATCAATGTTTAGAATGGAATGAGAGGATACAAATAATATCCCTTTTCTATGGCTTGAGCACTAACTATGATACAGTTTTAAACACTGGTCAAAGAAAAGGAAACGTGCCATCTTGGAAAATGGTGGTGACTGTACTTGAGGAAATGGGGTATTTGCAATGGACACATCCAGTCACTGTAGGTGCAATCACCACCATGATGTGTATATCTGGTGCCATCCAGAGGAATACAAAAACACTTGCTTGATCCCCAAAAGACAGTACAGTGCACAGACATCAGAAAAGATTAAAAGTGATAGCGTGGGCTTTCTTCCATATTCTAATTGCCTCAATCCTCCAATATGAGATTTATTCCTAAAGGACTCATTCTGTGTGTGTGTCACTTTCCAGATCCAGAGATTGGAGCTGCTGTTCTCTTCATCAAAGCAGAGGAGACCAAGCAGCAGATAAACAAACTCAACAGTGAGGTATGGAGCTCTTTCTTTGGTCATACTTAAATGGTAAGAGGAGATATAGATCCTAGTTACTCACAGAAGCAGTGTAATATAGTAGTTACAAGCATGCATTCCAGAATGAGACCACCATGGGTGAATCCCTACTCTGCCTCATGTAAGTTGTGTGACCTCTGACAGGTCACGTACCTTCTCTCAAGCTCCACCACCCCATGTGTAAGCAGGGAAGAAGAATAATACCTGCCTCATGGCCCTTTGTGAGATTAAATGAAATAATCTAGGTAAATTGTTTAGCATAAAGTAGGCAGTAAATAAATTATTATTATAATTAATATCATAGATATATGCGTATTTGGTTTAATTGGTACATTTTAAACTTTTTCGTGACCTTCTATTTTTAATGAGTTAAAGCAAGGTCACTAGTTCACAGAAGAATTCTGTTTCTCAGTGTAGTCAAATGGCCTGAACTCTGTCCTTTCCTCTGACTTGTATTTGCTTGTGTCCCCTTGGGTACTTTACCTCTCTAAATCTTACTATCTGTTCATTTTTAACAGTTTTATTGAGGTATATTTATATATCATAAAATTTGTCCATTTCACCAATAATCCAGTGAGTTTTAGTAACTTTATTGAATCCATCATGTATAAATCAGTTTTAGGATATATTTTATTCCCACAATAAGATCTCTCATACTCATTTTACAGTTAATCTCTATTCTTATGTCCCAGCCCTAGGCAACTACTTATCTACTTTCTATTTCTATAAATCTGCCTTTTCTGGCAATTTTATAGACATAAATATAAAAATAAGATAGTTTCTTGATTACCATCTTAATTGGGGTCTCTCTCATAAAAAATAAAGTAAAACAAGTTCTGAGATGATATGGGGGCAAATAGTTTATTTGGAAGGTGATACAGGAAGTATAATTAAAGAATAGAGAAGTAAGACAGAAAAGGAAGGAAAGCAAAACAGAAGTGTTAGTGAGATAGTTAAACTTGTAAACAACTGGGGCTCAATCCCACTGGAGGCCTCTGAGAGACTATGTAGGACGACTCAAAATTATTCAACCAAGAAGCAAGGAAAAGTGGAGTTGAGGCTTTTCAGGCAGCCCTGAAGAAAAAAAAAATTCCTCACGCGAGACTATGCAGCAAAACCTGTGCCTGTCTTTGGTGACCTTCAGGGTAGACCCAAGCAAGGGCATGTGGGCTGGGACAGACAGTGCAATGGAATCCTTTTCTAGGAGCAAAGTCTTATTAATAGGTGATTTGATGACACCTTGGGGAAAATGTAATCACGTGATGGTATTGATGAGATTTACGAAAAATGAAGTTCATATAATCAACTTCCAGTTATCTGTAATAAGGGTGGACTGAATAGCTTGTCATAAAATCTGCAGGTTTCTCTTCAACCTGTGCTTCTTCAGCTTTATGGAGATTTATGTTTTACTGCCATCTTCCTTCTGCACCTGCCCTCTCTGGAGCTGAGATTGTTGCTAATGAGAAGTAAGAGAGCCAAAGGGCAGACTAACAAAGCAGAAAAGGAAAACTAGATGGTCCACTAACTGGCTTGAAAATACTTAAATCAAAAAGACTCAGCCATGTGCTGGATCACCCAAATAACCTCCTGTTAAAAGCAAAAAACAAACAAAAAAAAACACTGAAACCCAAAACAAAACGAATGCAACTCCCTATTGGAGAACTGGATGTTAACCTTCTATTGAACAGTTTCTCTTCAGATACTGCTCTTAGCTAAAACCACCCATCAGTATCATTTGAATTCTTTCCTCTCATATTTGAGAAAAGCATTTAATAATTTTAAGAACTGACTGATCTGTATCTTAGTTCATATATTAGAGTTAGTGATTCTTCTGAGAAAAAATGTCTATATGTTCACCTTTAGGAATGTAGATAATTTTTCCAAGTTAGGGCTGTGAATCACACAGTTTGTTATTTTCCTTTGACAATGTGAATCAGGGGTAGATCCATTAACAAAAACAAAATTACCATTTGAAAAACAAAATATCTTCCCAGTATGATCCTTTATTCACGATTTCTTTTCTTTTTTTTTTTAAATCATACTTTAAGTTCTGTGGTACATGTGCATAACATATAGGTTTGTTACATA